GAAAGCTTTCTTGTTACAGGTGAAACGATTCCCAGTGAAACGATTCCTAGTGAAACGATTTTCAGTGAAACGATTCCCATGAAAGCTTCTAGTTGCTAGAAGGCTTTCTTGTGACAGGTGAAACGATTCCCAGTGAAACGATTCCCATGGAAGCTTGTAGATACTAGAAAGCTGTTTGGGCCTCTTCAAGTTCCCTTAAAGGACGACGCCTTTTTAAATGGGCCCAAACGCCTTCTTTTCCTTCTTTTCGACAGCTGCGCAGCCACTCAATCCATTGGGTGTTGCTTGCCTGGATGGCTGATTTCTGTGAGAGAGGCTAGAAAGAGGAAAGATCAGGGTAGGAAAGAGTCAGTTTCTGTGAGGGATCATATCCTTGATAGAAACTTGTATAATATATGTTATATGTATGTATATATATATATACATATATAAAATAACTGCATCTACTGTAATGCCAAGGAAAACAAACAGAGGCAGGTTGGAAGTTGGAAGGTAGAATAACTATCCTTTTGCATTCTTGGCATTGCGTGAGCGAAGTAGCGGCCGCTGGTTATCGGCTTAGCTTGAGTTGGAGAAAGCTGGCATGTTCTAGTGTTGAACGGCGTGGGCCTTCAGGTCTGCGAGCCCAAACCAGATTATGACTCTGTTCCTGCAGAAACCTATGTTGGGAGCCCGAGCTGGATTCAGCTCTTGGGATGAAAGATGCAGCAAACAGCTTCGCTGTGGAATATGGAAGTAAATATTCAGATTTGTTCAATCTCTGAGGTTTTGAAGATGCGTTCGAAACAGTCAGTGGCTCAGTGGATTCAGCCAGTTCCATGCACACAGTAAAAGCCGTTCGGCCCAGTTTCCAGCCAGGAGCCAACTCAACAGACGAGTTCTAGTGGTACTGATGCTCTAAAGCTCAAATGAATAGAATTTGATAGATCCTGTTGGCACCTTTGTACCCGCTCAAACTCGAACTTTGTCTCCAGGTCATTGAGGGAGCACAAAATGGAAGAGCAGTTTCGGAAATCCTTGGTTCCTTGTCACGCAAGTCGCTTGCTTTGGCATTTGGATTTTACGTGACCAATACAGTAGTCTAGAAGGAGAGCTTGCCGGCCCTGAGAGAGTTTGGGATCGGGTCAATGATGAACGTTGCGTTACATGCCAATGACGCTTGGGCTCAGATGACACTTCTCAATCTGGCGCCTCACCCTGGTGTCTGGCCCTCGGCTTCATGTTGGTTTCCCATTGCATTTTCAAGGGACGCTACTAGGGGCTCCTGGCATCGCTACTAGGAGCAAGGACGCTCCTAGGGACCCCACAGTACCCCTACACTGCTGCAGATGAAATCGCTCGGATGTCACGATGTCATCCTGTTTGAAATCCAGTGGTGCCTGTGTGTCGTGTACATTGCATATGGTTTGCTCTTTTGTTTTTCGTTCCTTCAACTCTTCCGATATCTTTGGCAGTAATAGCACATTGATTCAGTTCCATTAATCAGGCTTTCCGTTCATGCTCGGGTTTCCTGTGACAGCATCAAGAGCTGTTGTTTGCTTTTTGGATGGAGGACATGCGTATGCCCCAAACTGTGTGGGCTTGCTTACGCTAGATTTTGGAAAGCTGACCACAGAAAGCACATATTATGTAATTAGTTGCAAATCCTGTACATCAAAAGGTGTCCTTAACGCAATATTCAACATGCAAGTCAACCATGCGCTTAGACATCATCCCCTCGCCTTCTGCATGTGATCCATAAATTAGGGTGCTATGAAGAGGCCTGTAGTGGCCAGGCAGCCAACGCCAACAATTCTCCCCAAACTGGATGCAAACTGCAAGACTGCAGAGTTCAAGTTATATGGACTTGGGTGGCCTACACCATTTTTGGATTAATCATGCTGCAAACCCTGTAGAGTGAACCTGCAAACATGGCGGTCCGTGAATTTGAGGATTCGGGCGTCGCCCGTTTTGGTAAGGTTGCCGGAGCACCTTAAGTCAGTATATAGATTTAAAAGATTGGCTTGGAGCCACTAGTAGGTTGGAGGTCATCACAACTAGGTTGGAGGCCATTGCTATTAGGTTGGAAGCCATCGCTCCACCTCCTCCTCCCGACCCGAATGCGCCGTTCCCAGGTTCTTCCCCTCCAAGAGGTCCTGGAAGATCAGCAGTTCTACTATATAGTGATGGAAAAGGCCAGAAAGTGCGTGTGATCTAGCAGAGTCCAGAGAACACCAGGTCTTCAAAAAAGAAGTTGAAGTCATAATACTTCACGCCATGCCAGACATTCACAGACTGCGATTGGAGCTCTTTTTTTTTCACCTTTGCAGGCAAAAGGTGGATCCCTTTTCAAAGGACTTCTGAAGCAGTTCGAGGACAGTTTCTAGGTGGCGCGATGAGTGGGGCAACCGAATAGTCTGAGTGCAGCAAGAAAATCATAGAAAATGTTGTGAATGCTTCCACTTGCTTTGTAGAGGGACCATGAGACAAGCGCAAGTTCTCACCAATGCAAGCCTCTAAGTTCTGACATCGGCTTCGAACGCAGCATGGCATGCAGCAACATGCAGATACTACGAGGGCTCAAAAAGAGGTCTTGCCTTTAAAGAGGCAGCAAGACCCTTGGATGAGCTTGTGCAAGCTGAAACAGCACAATTTAAGGGGCTTACGCCCAACAGCAGCCAGGGGGGTTCAGTGTTGTTGCTGCTGGTGCTGCTGCTGCTGTCGCTCTTGTTGTTAGTACCAGAAGCAGAAAATGCAAATAATGCAAAAGAACTTGGGCGACATAACTTGCACCTTGGGTCTTTTGATGCAGCTTGAAGGAAAAAACAATCTTTCGAGCATAATGTTTAATATGTTTTAATGCGTAATGTTTTTGCGGGTGCAAAAGCCGAAAGCACAGGTATTTACGAGGTTTTCTGGCCCATCCGTTTTCGCCCGAACGCGCCTCCAAGCCTTCTCCCCATGCACCTGGTCTCCACCTTGTGTAAAGGCCAAAAGCACCGGTATTTGCGAGGTTTTCTCGCCCTTTTGAAACCTCCTTCCCAGCCGCCCTGCGGGACTACCGGCACTAGGTCTACGCTGCGCTATCCGCACATGGTCGGGGGCCTTCGGTCCTGCGGACTCAGCCAGGCCTGCCCCCTCCGTGAAGATGGCTTCAGATGGCTCCAAGATGCCAGCTGTGCCGCCCACGTTGCCATGCATTGTTTGCGTTTTCTGTTTCTGGCTCTGTTTCTGGGAAACAGGAACAACCACAACCACCGCCACAACAACACCAACAACAACCAAAGCAAGAAGGACCACAGCAGCAGCAACAACAACAACAACAAGAACAAGAACAAGAACAAGAACAAGAACAAGAACAAGGTACAAACCAATACCGCAACCCTGTTACAACATATCTTCTGCTTTTGACTCTACACGGGGGTGGAAAAAAAATCTGCAGCCCCGTCGTTGTTTTTTGACCCCCCCAAAACAACCAGCCAACATGTACTTTGACCAGTACTAGTAGTGGTTGCAGTACTAGTGGTAGTAGTGGTTACTAGTTGCTAGTGGTAATAGTAGTCCTGGTAGTAGTTACTAGTGGTACTAGTATACTACTGGTACTACTACTGCTAGTGAAGAAGTCAAGTAGACTCTAACCCACCAAATGTCACGAAGGCATGTGAGTGACACAGGGCCCCAAAAAACTTTGAAGCAAGTCACAAAGGCCACCGCGAAGAGGGCAGGGGTGCCAGCGTGGCAAGGAGTTGGGGGCGTCTACTAAACCTTCTCCAATGCGCCATTTGCCATTTTGCATTCAGAAGTGGGGCAGTTGCGAGGACTGTGGAAGACACTCTAAGACTTGAACTTCCAACCTTCGCTTTGCTGCCCTTGCAGGTCAATCCCACCCTGCACTGTTACTTGGTAGGGTCCGGTTTGCTTCTGTCAGCCACTTAGGCACTGCGTGTGGTTTCCACAGTACCTGTGGCCCTCTGGCGCTGCTGGACCGACGTCCTTAGGATTGCGCCAACTTCAGCCAACTCTAGCGGCGATGCGAGTCTGGGATCCTTTTCACCTAGAAGCTCTTCCGACTCGTCAAGACATTCATTCACAGCCACATCAGTGTCAAGAGGCCGAGTCATGTGCCTGGCTCTGCTTCTACAACTTGAAGCTCTTTCCGTGCACCTTTGACCACATCTGGTGGAACCCCACCAACGTCTGACAAGTACTTCTTGAAGAGTGGGAGAACATTGCAAAAGGCCTTCCACCTGTCTTGCCCCACAACACACAATTGCCGTTGGGCAGTGCAAACATGCAAATCAAGGGCAATTTGCTTGTCGACTGTTTTGGCGTCCGAATTGAAGGGAATATCTTTCTTCAAAGTGCGCCAAGCCCTATCAATTGTCTGTGTATGACAGAGCGAAGGTCGTTGCGTGCCATCAACCAACACGTCAAGAGACCTGGACAATTCTTTTTCGGAATGGTTGACTTGATGATGCTCAAAGGTTCCGACATGCCCGATAGAAAACCGGTGCACTGTCTGTGAAGAGGACGCATCTGGTAGTTGGTCCAGACCCTGCTTCATCCAATGCAACAACAAACTCCCTCTTGCTAAGCTGAGGGATTCGCGGCCCTGTCCTATATTTTGCCGAAATGCCATTGGCTTGATCCAGAACTTGTACATGTGTTCGGTACCGAACTGCTCATCTCCACCCTCGCGCCAAGAAAAGACACAAGTCTCATCAGCTTCTCTGAAAGTTTCTTGACCATCATCTTTGATGAAGCTTGCTCTGCTCATCCAAATTCGCGCGTAAGGCTCGGAGACACTTTTCACACGATCTGGGTCAAGGAATGCCCCTCAACTGTCATAAGGACGTGAAGATTGCCATTGAGGCACCCCAGCTTCAGTGCCCCCTCACAGCTTGGAAAGAGAGGGTTTCCATCCGTCACCGAATGCCTGCCCAGCATCTTTGGCATCCTGACAAGACAGAAACTCGAACTAATGATAGTGCCCGTGTTCAAGTGTTCAACTAATAAGATAGCGCCCATGTTCAACTAATAAACATTCTTTCAAAGCAGGAAAGCTGACTGACCACTAATCGTGTCCAAGGATCTACGGCAAACATTGGTCAAGTTAATGTCTTGATGCCACCTTGCCATCTGCTACCGAGGACCCGATCGCCTGACGTCCTTCAATTGGCGCGGCTGCCCGCTTAAATCCAACAGGCCATCCTGAATCATGGCAAGAGTGACGTCAAGCGGGCTGCGTCGCGCCTGTGCGAGAAGAAGGCTCTAAAGCCTTCCTGGCTTCGAAGACTACAGTTGACTCCTTCTATTGAACAAGGTGATTGCGCGCTGCTTCTTCTTCTTCTTCTTGTTCTTCTTCTTCTTCTTCTCTGTGAGCTTGGTCTCTTTCGAAGGAACGAAAGCAGCTGGTGCCTGTGGTTCTGAGGGAAGCTCCACCAGACAGGAAGAGGGTCAACTGTGTTCAATGTAGTGATAATGTTCTTCGCCCTCGTCAGCCTCACAGTTCAGAGAGAGAACCTCTTGTGGGAAAATCCCTTCTGAGAGCAGAGCCACTGTTCGATGGGCCAATCCCCAGGCCCAGCGCCTTTGCGCACCATGGTGGCTGACAGCTGATCAGAATGGTTTGGACTGAGTGTTACTAGGTTGCAAAGACGCTGGTTGGAGCCACCTGCACTTTCCAAACAAGCTGTGCCTGTTCTCTCATGGATCCACAACAAGTATGAAGGATGGTTTTTCAACGCCCAGCTCAAGGACTTTCCAAAGTTGAAGGATTCTCTTGGCTTGGTCTTCAAGTTTTCTGCTCTTCGGACAGCTGCGCCAGCTTGTGGTCCGGAAAATCATGTTGATGTCTAGGGCCGTCTTTCTTCAAGGCCATGCGTGTTGTACACCACCTGGCTCGGGCTGTGAAACCCTAGCTCTTGCCCTTCTTACGGACACGCCGCAGGCTGCTTGCCTCTGACCCGTCTCATGCTTGAGCCGAACGCCACACACCGTCGCGTTGGATCGATGAGTCCTTCATTGGTGCTATTGCGCGTCTTCATCGCACTGTTCACCCAATTAGGGGGAGCCTGCAGGTAATTTAAACAGCTTTAGGTGTGTACAGGCTGAAATGGAAAAACTAGTTTTTTGCAACACCTGCGCTACCAAAACCCAATCAGGCTGGGCTTTCCGCCCTTCTGTCAATGGCAGCGTAGTCGATGTGGACAGTGCGAGGCGTGTGCGGAGGTGGGGGGGTGGAAAACCGGTTCTCAAACAAGCAATGGTGTTTATGCGCTGCGCTTAGGGGCAATTGCATGTTTGTCCCTGTGATCTTTTCTTGAAGCTCCTTGAACTGAAGTTTTCGGACTCCACTGGAAAACATATAGTCTACTTAAACGCCTTCTTAGGGCCTATGAAACTTCTCTTTGGGCCATACTTATTGTAACTGTTTAAGTAAACCTCTGTAAAGCTTCTACTTGGAGCCTCTACCACATCGGGAAACAAAAACTACAGCCCCGTTGTTGTTTTTTGGACCCTCCCTTAACAGCTGTTGTTATCTTTAATCCCTAGAAGCAGCATCTGCGACCCCGTTGTTGTTTTCACCCCCCCAGAAGAACGCGCCAAAAAACATCAAAAAACACCAGAAGCAGACCAACCAAGACTTGAGTGACACAACGACAACAAATTAGCAAGTCCAGCTACTAACATCTCTCCAGACCTTCAACCCTATCCCTAACAGTGTCACTTTGAAATCCTTGACTTGCAACATGTGACAGCTACTGTATGTTGGGTGGTTGTTTTTGTCTCTTACCAACGACAACAAATCTCACCTGCTTGCCCCTGAGCCAGCTGCAAGCCCTCTGTTGTGCGTAGGCCCCTTAAACACCCTGCGGGTAGCCGCCTTCGGCGGGACCCTGCGGAGCGTGTGACCTCAGCACTCCAAGATGGCTTCTTGCATGTGATGAAAGGAAAAAGATCAGAATCATGAGAAGCACGCTGCAGCAGCAGCAGCAGCAGCAGCAGCAGCGGCGCCGAGAACTGCCACACCTATCACCCTTTCTTCACTGCCTCGTGCCCTGTTCTTCTCCGCCTTGTCTGGAGCTTGTCCAGGCCTTGTCCAGGTGCTGCTTGGCCGCGCGGTGGACCTTTTCTTCTCCACCTTGTCCACGCGACCCTCATCCCCATTCCAGCGCCTAGGCCCAGTTAGTCGCATGGGCCAACTTAAAGTCCTTCAACCCTGAATAGGCCTAGAGCTCCCTGGCCTAGCCAGTCCCTTGGCCCCCTAGCCAGTCTCCTGCGCGTGTTCACCCCAGGCATAACCGAAGCACGCCCTAGTCTCCTGGGACTCATGGGGACCCTTTCTTGGACCAAACGTTGCTTTCGGAACACCATAAAGCCCCTCCTCACATTCAATGCAACTGGACAACCTGCACTTCCGCAGGGCGGGCATGTGACGTGCAACACTGCATCTCTGGCTCCTCCATCCAAACCCGGGTCGTGGATTTGATACTGCAATGATTCTTGCACAATGCCGTGAGGATGGACACATGCCACCAACCGAAGTCCGACGGTTGATTCGCGGCATTTTGGAGGCGGTGCTTTGGTGTTGCACAAGTGGAACGCACACTGCTAAGCAGTTCTTACTGCGACTCGCATTGATTCGCATTGAAGGCCATTGGCTACATCCACGAGCACGGCATGTTACACAGAGATATCAAGCCAGACAACTTGGTGATGCGCACCTTGGCCATAAGTGGACGTCAACCATTTTCAATACAATCTAGCTGTGAAGCTCGATGTTGTAAGGGATGAGGGTTTGTACTTTCTGCATGCCACCTTGAAAGGCGAGGGGTAGGGGCTTTACCGAGTGAAGAACACAGGCTTGTCTTGCCTTTATTCACTTCCCATTTTGATGTGAGACACCCGCAAGCAGTAGGATCATCCAGCCTCAAAGCCCAAGGCGACGTGCAATCAGATGCGATGGAGGGGGGTGCTTTGCGAGTGGCGATCATTGACTTCGACCACGCAGACCCAGCTTGGGATCTCAGTCACTACTATCACAGCTAAGCTAAATTCAGATGAGGAAGAGCAAAACGAGTGCAGCTGTGTGGTTGCAAGTCATCCGGCGTGACACCAGTCTTTTGACCAGCACGCTGAAGCATTTGACTGAGCCTCAAAGCTGAGGAATACCTCTCCAAGCCCAAGCCTATGGACTCTGAGCAGCCGAGCTGTGACTACTTCTGTGGCACAGTGCAATTCAGCGCGCGCGGCTTCCCATACTTGCCAGGTTGTTGAACTTGTCTTTGTCGCCGATTTGATGGTAGTACCTGGTAGTATGGACATTTACTGGATTTGGTGTTTGGATGTCATGACCACTGGTGACTCATAGTTTTGTGACTGTTTGTTTGAGGCCTGAAGCCTTCATGGGCTGCTTTTCACCGGCCAGCGATCTCTACAGCATAGGTGCAATCTCTGTCGGTTTACTGTGGACCGAGATGCGCTGGGAGCACTACCGGCCAAGGGGATGCCAAGTAAACCTGGAAAACCAATGATGAAATAACCTAGAACACAATGCGATCGGGCGACTGAGGCAAGTAACTGGAGATTTCAAGAGGTTAGCTGGGCTTACACCAGAGTGAGTGCCATCACGCAAAGCAGATGTCGGAGAACCCACAGGATGTTTGCTTCTTTCTGATTATAAACAATAGATCAAGATTCAGATTCTTCTCGCATCAAGATTCGCTCCATAATTTCAATGATGCCAGGCATCATTTTGTACCTGATCATGGCTGGAAAGATGCCGTTTGACAACTCCATCTTCCAGGAGGTGTCGACGAAATGCGGGCTCACGCCCTCCAATTTGAAAGCTCCGTTGGTATCTTTGCAGTGTGTCGTTTGGGGAAAAGGGACCTGCCTCAGGAAATGTCCGTCCTCCAGCAATCTCCAAAGAGCCGTGGTTGGACAATGTGCCTTGGAAGGGAAGTTGGGAAGCATCACTTGCTTCTGCCCACTTATGTTTTAATTATATAGTTGGCAATGTTGGCAACAGACATAATTCTAAACTATTTGGAAGAAGTTCAACTTCGCTCGAATGGGTTCCAACGAATTTGACACACTTATAATTATAGCATAGTTCGTATGTTCAGCTGGGTAAGGACTAGTTAATCATACCCTCAATGCCCTCCATGGAGATCGCAGCCATGCTATTGGCCAGAGCGAAGAGCTACGGTAATTATTTGAAGGAATGTCCCCATTTAGAGCTAGACAGAAGTACCTTCGCCTGTTCGCAGTTTCTTCTTTGTGCTCTTGCTTTTGCTGTTAGTGTTTCCCTCCCTCCCTCCTTCCCTCACGCCCACACGCCCACGTGCCCGTGCCCGCCCGCCCGCCCGCCCGCTCGCCCTGCGGGCGTCGGACCCTTGAGGTTGCAGCCCTGCCCGCACCTCCACCTGCACTCTCTCTCTCTCTCTCTGTCTTTCTCTCTCTCGCTCCCTCCTTCCTCAGTGTCTCTCTTCGTCATTCCGTCGATCCGCCCATTTGTTTGCACGTCTGTCTTTTGTTTTGCCGCCTTCTCCATGCGCAAGCTCAGGAATCTGTGGAAACGGCTGAAATCGCAGGCGATTGATTGGAGGTTCGGGATGGCTCGCGATCCGGCACTGATGATATAGCTAGCCAGTTTTTTGTTTTTTAAATCTACCACAAGCCAAATGAATCATACATTTGTCAATCACTTTAGATTTGAATCGCATCATAAAGCATGAGCTGGGCACATTTTGCATCACATTGTTAACATGAATTTACCCCTTTTAGTTAGTTGAGACGGAGAATTTGATTTGAGTAATGCTTGTAACCTGCAACTGTTTTGTCTCTCAACCAACAGCGCCACTTTTCTTGGACGAATGCTTCCTCTTAAAAACCAAAGCTCCCTTTTCTTGCTCTTCCAGCGGTCGTGGCCAGTTGTGATCCGTGGCCGCAGCAACCAGAGCCATGGCCTGAGATGCTTGACATGCCGTGCTGACGTGTGAGTGTGCAGTGTGCTGAGTTTAGTTCAGACATTTTGTGCTAAAGGTGTGCCAGCTTTTGCCGGTGGCTCTTAGCCTTCGAGCCAAGCAAGAGGCGCAAATGCCTGGGTAGTTCACTGAAAATGCAAGCTTTCGCCCTGGCATTTTAGCGTTCGCAGTGCCAAAATGGATGTTGGCAGATGAAAGTTGGGCTGCATTGAACCATTGGAATATTCGGGCTCGAGGCCTTCATCTGCAGCTGAAGCCTTGGAACACGACTGGTTTGCTGGGCACCAAGATGCTCTCGGAAGCAGGGCTTTTTGTATGACACATTTGCCTCTTGACAGTGTATGTGGGGTGTCATGGTAACAGGGGATAGTGAGACTGGTTGCCGAAGCACTGAAGCACTGATTGATTCTTGCCCATACTCGGCTTGATCCATTTCCTGTCGCTCCAGGTGGCCTCTGTTGGCATATCCTAGCTGCAGAGAGCAGTTTCTGACCACAGGCTTCCTGGATACAGACGGCCGGCAACTCCAACTTTCTGCTTAGGCAATTAGGCTATATATAAATGGCTATAATCAAATGCGAAGCTGGTAGCTCTTGCGGCTGTTGCTGGAACGTCCCAGTGAGTTTATTTGGACCGCATGGGTCCGCTGAGTTAACTTTGCTGTGTGAGCAGCAATGATCGGGGGACTTGACGGATCAGTGCCGCCGATGTTCCGAATTTGTTAGTGTCGAGGGCTAGTTCACTGTGTCAAGGATCAAGGGCCTGCCTCAAGGCAGCAACTTTCCAAATTTCCGGTGGCCCCAAGGGCCGGTCCGGGCGTAAAGCGGAGGGAGATCAAGAGTTCTTTGATTTTTATTCCTGCTATTACAGAGCTCGGACCCTCAAAAGAGATGCTGATATGATGTGGACTTCCATTTGGTTTAGCCATTGTTTTGGTTTCAAGCTGGCATCGATTCTCCCTCTGCAACCTCCATGGTATTGCTTTGCTCAGCCTTTGTGCAGGCGCTAGTTGGTGGGGCGAGAGTTGCAACATCAACCTACCCGAAACAGAATGATGCAACCAAGACGTGGGAGACAGTGAGACACAAACCGCAAAGGGACAAAAAGTCCTGCTTCCCACTTTCCATCGATGCAACCCTTTTAATAATGGATCAAGATCTGTGCCGCTGAGGTCAAGGCATTCGACACGTCACAAACGTCACTGTGCTAAACAGGAAGGGCCACCAACCGCGTTTCGATGCTCAACGGTCCAATCACTGAATGGTTCATAAAAGCCAACTGGCCAGGTTGAATGCACAACCTGCGCACTGAAACTGCATTTTTATCACTTTGTTGCTACTGGCATACTTAGTCCCTTAGGCCTTAGTCCTGTTCATTTTTGGGTTCAACGCACTAAGGCAAGAAAGGGCCATGCAGCTAGGTTGCTCGAATGTGAGCATTTTGCTTTATATACATTTGACATATTGCAAATAACAAGGTGGCACTTGTGCATAGAAAGCCTTCTATGCAGTCAAAAGGGTCAATATGCAAGATGAACAAGGTTAGCAGACATGAACAGACCCTTTCTTGGAATCAGCAGCCTGTCACACAGTACCGATAGGGAATAGACAGGATTCCCCAGTGCGAGACACATCAATACAATGCCCTCAGGTCTCAAAAGTTGTTAGATTGTTAGATTAATTGAGTTTCAACAACATTTTTCATCAAGGTCTTTGATGGTTCAGGTTCGCTTTGAGTAAGTTGTTGAATTCCCCTCACTGTGTATTCCAAGGTGGTATCCCTTTCGGAGGCATACGTCAGAGGTGCTTTGAATGAACTACAGTATGTGAAACAGAAATGCCGATGAGCTGTGCTTCATTTGTCCTGCATTTCCAAGGGGGCTAGGTTTTCAATTCATTCCAGGCAAGAAACTAGATTTGATCTGACCTCATGCTGACATACTACTTCTCACCGCAAAGTTGTGTTTACCCCGTTTATTTGCGAATATGTTGGTTGCATTTTTTAAACTGTGTCGAGTGGACCATGAGTCCGGCTTTCCATCACGGTGAGTCGCACTCAGCCATTCGGGCCTTGACTCCCACCAACGAATCAATCAATGTGGGCTTTGGCTCATTATTTTCTTGCAGTGTCAGCGTGCCCTGCATGCATTTTCGGCAAGCCGAATTCAATATTATTATATATATTCCTTTTTGTCAGCCCTCCTCGATTTGCGCTCAACTTGATTGCAAGAGATGCCATGCACTACTTCCAACCAGCTATTGAACCAACCAACCAGCAGACCGTGTCAATCTACCTCTCTTCCTATCAACTTGCCTTCAACCAAGTTAGTGAAGCTAGCTATTGACCTCTTTGTTGAGCAGCGGTGGACTTGCCAGAGCCTTCATCGCTTCATGAGCATGATGCAGCACAGGGTTTCCAGGTCAGCAGGAACGCTTCCTGTGGAGTAAGAATGGTCGATCACTCAGTCTGATTTTATCCAACCTCTTAAAATCAAATACAACAATGAGTTGCGCCGCGCACAAAGAGCAGGGCTGGAGCGCGCCTTTGCTGTTGCCGACACAGCAAATGCTCTTTTCTAAGGACCTGTGTGGAAGAGACAACCTCATCTTGGATTGTCCATACACGCAATCCCTCGCTTTTTTTGCTAGCATTTCTAGCACTTGGCAGGCTCCTCTTGGACAGCTTGATGGCCTCTGCAAAGGCAAAACTTTAAGAACGCAAGAGGAAAGAGGCACCGACCAATAATCAGCTACTTGCAGAACTTGGGTTTGTCAAAGCGCTTTCTCTCACCACTTGGGAAGTTGACATCGACCGAGCTGGATACTATGTAAGTGTCCAGGTATATACAGTACAATGATGTGCCATTTCCCACCACTTGGAAAAGACAAGCCATCATTGTTGAAGAATGCTCGCCAAGCAATCTCCTACACATTGTTCACCTTCACTGAACTTCCAGGACCTTCGTGGCTTTAAGCAAGCCTCAGGTTACGAGTGCACGAAGGCACTGAATAAGACTGACGGACAAATACAATGTCCAAACCTCGCACACTTTTTCAGGACTTTTTTTCAAGATGTCATATTGTGTTGTTTGCTTGCACCACGTCAGCGCGAAGGACATATTTACACGTCAACTCAACAAAACAACCTGCCAAAAGCATCGAGAGCTGTAGAAACATTCTGGAGGCGCTGGAAGGCCTTGGCACTAGATCTTCGCACTGATGGCTGCATTTGGCAGCTATTGCTGTGCCTTTCAGAAGCGTGACACTGGCAGATTTGCCTGATGAGGGCTGCTGATTCCAAGATCAGATACTGGACTAGCAGAGTCTTGAAGTTTTATTGAGTTCTGTTTTCCTGAGTGGCGCAGTTCTGGGTTTTAGGAAGCAGAGCCAGGAGACCGTCCCGTCGGCACAAAACAACTCTTGGTGTGACAAGCCGAGCAGTCCACCAAGATTTCTAGAGCTCGCTGATGTTTCCCCGCTTCCCTTCGAAGCATCACTGAAGCATCACCGATGAAAGTGTTATATATCGTTAGTGCTCGGTGCTTGTGCCACTGCTGGCACCTCCAGAAAAATTGTTCTGCGTCCCTGGGAAGGATATGGCAAGGCGCAGATTTAACAGGCCTTCTTTGCATTACCGTGCAACAGGACGGAATCCAAGCGAGTTCCAAAGTGTAGGAAAGAGCTTTCCAAGGAAGCTGATGACCCCCAAACTGGCATCCAAATAGATTTGTCCAAGCTATTTGATTGGATGCTAAAGCTTACAGCAGGCCACATACTAGCCCATGTGAGTGCTGCGACGGCATATATCTACTGTAGACTGTATGGGCATGAGCTCGCTTTGCTCAAGCATTTTTGCGCCGAAAGTGACGCCTGAGGCAGAGTGACAGAGCTGGATTTGAGCCACAACAAGCACAGTGATAGGAGTACGGACTGAACTTTTGATCTTTTGTAGTGTGGTACCCACCTCACCCTGAAAGCAGTTCTTGCTTGTCCCAAATTAAGATAACTTAAGGGGCCGTGGGGGTGAGGATGACCCCTTCGAATTGCACAACCATCGAGGACACGTTGTCACACTTGATGCACGATTTAAGCATGCGTTGGGGCTCGTAACAACATCACATAGCCGTAATTGTTCAGTTGTACAACAGAGGTACTTGTAATTGGGAAGGAAAGATGGGTTTGGACATAAGTTTGCAGGTCATGCTTTCTTTCTTGAGACGGGCACAGGTGAAAAGGATTTGCAATCCTCTTGATCAGACAACCAAAACAGATATTCTACCTTGACCAAACCCCTTGGACCTTGTCTCGTCGATGAACTTTGCAGTTTGACCAGACAGTGGTGCCAGGATCAGCAATCATTTGGTTGTTGTTCGCTAGTACAGCAGGCTCATTTCCCGACGAGCAGAACCTTCTGTCTGGATGTTTTCAGGCTCTTGAAGGCTTTTGGCTGCTTCAAGGCTCTTAGTGGATGACAGGCTTTGAAGGGCTTTTGAGAAGTTTTAGATTCTGAAGGCGCCCCACAGCCAACACGCTTCTAGTACAGGAGGCCACGAACTTGCCAAGAACCTCCACCTGTCAAAGGAACTGGCCAGGATGGATACCCTTCTTGCTTCTTGAGCCGAGATCGCCCGAAGGTCATGGAGGGATGGAAGAAGGCACTCTTGGTGGCTGGTGCAGCAGGTCGCGGGCTTCACTGGCAGCGCTTTGCTTTGAAGACAGGTTTAGAGTAGGGCCTAAGCAAAGAGAATGAAGTGCGTTACTGCTTTTTCAACCCTTTCATGTTGCCACACAGCTGTTTCTGTCTAAGATGAGAATTCCTGGATGGGTATTTTCCAAGCAACGTATTTGCTATCGGGCTTGGGGTGCGCAGCCAGTTTCCCCAGTGTTTCAACAGCTTAAGGACAATCACCACTTGGGATCTTTTTCAAACAGGGCGTGATTTTGACGCCTCATTTCTCCCAACTCAACGGCTAGCTGCCTAGCTTCAGAGCCTCAGGCTCTCAAACTGTTTTACTTTTTTTTTAAATCTGTCTTTGAAGGCTTTGTTGGGAGAAACAGCTTGAGGCGCTGGTTGTGTCCTCTACTACCTCTTGCGAGAAGAGCAGGATACCAAGCAGTTCGGATGCCCAACTAGCCAGTGCAGTGTACAAAGATGATCAAAGCCACAAGGAAGTTGAATGAAACAAGAAACTCATAGATCATGGTCTCCACACATTTGGTTGAGCTTTTTGTTGCTTGTACTTTGGGAGTTGAAATCATTACGTACAAAGTCGGCTCGGGTCCAGCAGTGCTACGTACCTTGACGGACTTCCAGCAAGGCACGATGAAGCCGGGTAAGAGGATAGTGCGCGCACGAAGCAGACCTTTCTTTTGACCATTTGTCCTGCCAAGGCTGTTTGTACGGCAGAACTTAAGAGTCCAATCCCTTCTGGGCCTTTGGAGACCTTTTGTAATGGCCATCGCTAGTAGGTTGGAGACCATTCTTATTGGGTTGGAGGCCATCGCTAGTAGGTTGGAGGCCATCCTTAGTAGGTTGGAGGCCATCGCTAGTAGGTTGGAGGCCATTCCTATTATATAGGTTGGAGGCCATCGCTAGTAGGTTGGAGGCCATTCCTATTGGGTTGGAGGCCATCGCTAGTAGGTTGGAGGCCATCCCTAGTAGGTTGGAGGCCATCGCTAGTAGGTTGGAGGCCATTCCTATTATATAGGTTGGAGGCCATTGCTGGTGGGTTGGAGGCCATCGCCAGCAATAGGTTGGAGGCCATCGCCAGTAATAGGTTGGAGGCCATCGCTAGTAGGTTGAAGGCCATCGCTGTAGGTTGGAGGCCATCGCTCTTAGGTTCTGAATTCATCGTGGAGGCCG